TGAGCGGGTGGGCTCATTGAGCGGGTAATGCCGAGCCCAAGCGGTGGCTGAGCCAAGCAGCAACTGGGTTCCAGTTCCTGGAGGAGCTGCCTGTGGCAGAAGGACTCGGGAGACCAGCAGCCTCCCTTGCTGCCCAGCTGCCGGGGAAGACCCTTCCGAGGTGGCCTTTCCCGGGAAGGTGGCATCCACAGCTTCCCAGGGACACAGAGACCATGTCCACCCTGCAGCACGTCCCCGTGTGCCCGAGCGTCCCTGTGTGCACACGGGTGAGGCTGCGCCGCCTGGTCCTCTCACCTGGAGGAAGGTTTGGTGCTGCAGGGTGTTGGCAGCCTGCAGAACCGACGTCCCGTGCTCCATATCCTGCTCCAGGGCCAGCAGGTAGATGGACAGGAAAGGCATGTTGGTCTGCGAAACGAGAAAACGCGTGACCCTGAGCCCCAGCACGGCAGCGGGACGCAAAGGCGACGCATCCTCCAGGGCTGCATTTGAGGAAGAGGAGCGAGAGGCTCAGCGTGGCTGCGTGGTACGGGTGAGAGCCCCGTCCCGCACCAAGATGCGGTCACAGGCTGCCCAGGGACTGCTGGGGGGGAGGTCGGAGCGGCTGGAAGGGCCCCATGGTGTCGCCTGCCTGGTGCCGGGGCTGGGGAGCAGGGGCCGGGGCATGTCTGGCGTGGGAGCCTGCCCAGGCTCTCCTCGTTGGCAGGGCTGGGCAGGAACATCGGCTACCAATGGAGGAGCTTTTGTGGAGTCTCAGCATTGCCCTTTGCTTTGGTTTGGGCGCACGAATTTTGCCAAGCAAAGAGCTTTGGGGAGCTGCGTGCTCGTTCTCTGGGGCAAAAAGCCGGGTGACACAGAACAGGCTCCCGCTACGGCCCGACAGCTTGGGCGCCGGGTGACTTTAGGGACACGTGGACTTGCCTCCTGGCTGATGGTTTGCTTGCAGCTGTTTGCCATCTTCTGAAGCCCCTTGGCAAACTCCATCTCTGGAAGAGAAAGGTTGGAAGTGAAAAGACACGCGAGACCCCAGGACCTCCCTGCCCATTGGGTCCCTTTTGAAAAACAAATCAAGAACTTCAGGGACAAAGTCGACCGCTGCCCTCGCAAAGCCTGAGTCCCTCAGCCCCGTGCACGTGGTCGCAGAGGACCTCTACCTGTCCTGATGCTGCTCCAGGAGCCCAGCCCCGCGCCGCAGAGCGCCCCCCCGCCGCCCCCCGCCTCACCCAGCGTGGTCCTTTTCTCCAGGTAGCCGATGAGGTCCTTCATGTACTTGGAGATGTTTTTGGCGTACTGGAGGGCAGCATCCACCCCCCCCTCGCAGCGCTGCAGCGTGACGTCCACCTCCTCGGCAGGAGGACGGCCTGTAGTGGGACGAGGGGAAGGTGGGGGAGAAAGAGGAGAGAGGCGCTGAGCGTGCTGCTGCCGCTGCGTCCAGATCCGCACCCTCCAAATGCCTTCGAGTTCCCAGGAACGCTGGAGCAGCGGGAAGACCCCAGGACAGCCTGGCTCACCCCTGCAAGCTCCGTGGGCTTCCAGCACAAACCTCCCCGTATCTGTGCCGGCACCGTGCTGTGCTGGGGTCCTGCTTGGCCCCCGGTGCTGCAGCGGCCGAGGAGCCACGGCCGGCTCAGAACCGCGGCGATGATGGGGAAGGTGCTGGTTCCTGACGGCCGCTCTGCTCGGCCGGGTAACCCCCCCCCAGCCCCTGCACCCAGCCTCTGCCTGCTTACCCGTGTCATAGGTTTCCATGCCCGAAGGCATGCCGTCTCCTCCCGGGCCGGGGATCCCCCCGTAGAGGCTCTCCATAGCCTTTGGGAATTTGGAAAGAAAAGGGACTGATCAGAGAGGAGGAAGGGGAGTCGCTGGAGGGGCTGGCAGATGGAGGGGAGGCAGAAACTCGGAGCTGCTGGAGCCTTTCTGCTGCTGCTGGAAGTCTCCTGTGCCCAGCCCGTGGCCCATGGGACCCAACGGGAATGTCGCTGGAGCAAGACCTTGCCCTCTGCATGCACCGGACCAGGGCAGAGCTAAGGAGAGCAAGCAGAAGCCTATTTTCTGCCTCTGTTGACAGAGCTGCTCCGTCCCTTCCTGAGCCACCTTGTCCTTCGGATCGAGCTGCCAAGTGGCTTCTCCCTTCCTCGGGGTGCCAGTGAGGACAGGAGCAAGCAGGCAAAGCCTACGTGCAGCTCCGATGGGCTCAGAGGTGAGCTGGGAATCCCACCAGCCTGGGGCTGGGGGCTCAGCCCCTTCCCAAGCCGGGTCTGATCGCCCCGGCATATCCTGAGACCCGTGCGATGGGAGCGGGCATCGCTCACCTGGTTCTGGTCGCTGGGTGGGATGGAGAGGATGGTGCTGCTGTCCACCTCCCCCATGAGGAACTCGGAGACGCTGTGACAAGAGGAATAGGACCGGGCTCAGCAAAGGGATGGGCAGTGACAAGCAGGGCCATCACTGGTTTCCATGGGCATCAGCTCAGCTCCACGTGATGAGGTCTTGGTAATTCGGGTGGAGGAGCAGAGCTTGGGCCAGCACCGAAGAGGGGACAGGAGAAGGAGCCCATGGGGTTTGGGGTTCCTCCTTGGTGCTGGAGGAACTTGCTGGTGCGAGCGGCAGGAGGAGTGAATCTGCCCTCCTCACAGGGTCTCTCCAGTCCCCAAACCACCACCCCAAACCACTGTGGGGCTGCGCGTGGGCGAGGGGACGGGGCAGGGGTGGAGATGTGTCCCAGCTGGCGGGGGCAGTGGGGGCCATCGGGGACCTTCTCCAGGGGATGGTGGGCCAAAAGTCCCTTACGTGCTGCTGAAGGACACTGCGATGGTCTCCACAGCCTTCTCGAACTCCCGCTTGTCCGACTCATTGTTGGATTCATAATGGAAACCTGGAAAGGAGGAGATGTGGGAGCCCCATCGCTGCAAGCGCCTGTCCCCATCTTGGGCAGGACCCGCCAGCTCCTGCCGGGCTCAGCCCTGCTGTGGGGCTGGGGATAGGTCGGGGTCAGAGCCGGGCTGGAGGGAGCAGTGGGGAGGAGGGGATGGTCCCTAGGGATGCCAGACTTCCCCTAGTGCAGTGCCTCTGCCCCCCATTGCACCCCCATTCCAGCATCCCTTCCTCCAGGAGGGCTCTCGCCCATGGCCGAAAGAGGAACCGCCAGCGTCAGCGGGAACCGGCGCAGACGGCGCTTGGCAGATGCCCAGGCCAAGGGACGCTCTTGGTGCCTTCACCAGCAGCCAGGGCTTTTGGGCAGACCCTGGCACTTTTCGGGTCGACTCCTCTGGGGTGCCGGGACCGATGAGCTGGGCCCCCCACCCCGCTGAGGTGAGGGGGCTGAGATCTGCTCCCACCCCTCTGCCCGGGGCCGTGGGCAGCCTGAACTCGCTCCGTCCCGGCCCTGCGTGGGGCCAGCCCCATGGCAGCCCTCCTGCCACCCGCCACGAGGCTTCCTGTCCCCTCGCGGTTGCTGTTGTGCGTCCAGGAAGCGGCGCGGTGACGCAGAGTGTTGTGCTCTGCCTGCGGTTAGCACAGCCGTCCCCCTCCCCGCTGGCGTAACCGCGGGCAGGAGGTGGTGCCCTGGCCAGGATCTGGGCTCCACAGACCCCGTTGTTATAAACACGAGGTGCTGCCGGGAGCAGGATCCAATTATTGAAGTGTTTTGCCTGCGGCCGTGCTTGGAAACCCCCAGGCAGGGATCTGGGCTCTGTCATTTCTGACACCACATCTTCCTTAAAACTAAAACGCAGCAAGCAGGCGGTCGATGCCTTCGCCCCCTCCGCCTGTCCGGGGGGCAGCTCCGCTCCCTGGGCCCCTCCCCAGGCTCCCCAGGCCCCACAGGTCCCAGCACGGGGCAGGAGGGGAGCGGGACAGAGCTCCCAGCCCCATCATCTCACCCTTGACTTTGGAGATGAGGGTCCCAGCGGCCGTCAGGGTCTCCAGGGTGTTGAGCAGCGGGTACTTGTTGATGACCTGGCGCAGGATGCGCAGGGTTTCGCCCAGGCACTCGTGGGCCAGCGGCCGCTGGAGCTCCTTGGAGTCTGCAGAAGAGGGGGGGCTGAAACGCTGCCCCGCGTCCCTGCCCCACATCCCTGCCCCGTGTCCCAGCCCTGCATCCCTGCCCTGCGTCCCTTCCCTGCATCCCTTCCACGCATCCCTTCCCTGCATCCCTGCCCTCCGGAGCCTCCCACCCACCCCCGGCCCG